TAAAGAGAGTATGGAGCATGAGAGGGTTCAGAAAAATTTTAATATAGGAACAGGTTAGTTTAAAAGAGAATGACCAAATTTAGTGCAGGCATTTGAATACACAGGATGTGCGGACTACATAATCCACAGGATGCAGTGTCCATTCTAAGTCACTGACATTAGTGTGCCGTATCTTTGATATATAGCACATGTGGGTCCATACATCAAGGGTTGGAAGTAGAAGTGGCCCCTTCCAATGGCACCTCCACTGAGCCACGTGGGAAGTTTGTGTGCAGATCTCCAAGACTCCGGCCTCTGCAGGTTCAGAGGCCTTGACTCCTACAGATGCACTTCCAGACACATGGCACAAGTCCCATTGAATTTCAGGCTCTACTGCTGCCTGGCCCTTCAGGTCCCTCATGCCAAGAAGAGGAGTCACCATTTTGGCAGGGGTAACTGATCTTGGTCATCAGTGTCATTGTGTGACCATAGCCATGGGCAAGCACTGGCACCTTGCTGTTCAGTGAGGGGCTGGGGGCAGCTCAAGAGCAACCTCAGGGCAAATACAGTGGTGGATGCAAACGTCTTTGGCCAGTTTTACTCCCCACAGCAAGAGATCTGAGTGGTGTCTCCTGGGTGAGGCTGTCAGCTTCCTTTTGCTGAGGGCTGTCAGCTGGCTGCACTCCCTGCACCTGGAGAAATAAGCCCGTGATCCTGGAGGACGACCTGACCAACGAGCGCGGCATTCTCTGTAGTCCATCTCCAGCGACATTTGAGTCAACTTCTTTTTTTTAGCCTCACAAGATTTTTTAAAATTATTTTTTATTTTTCCATTACAGTTAACATTCAATATTACTGTATATTAGTTTCAGATGTACAGCATGGCGGTTAGACATTTACATAATTTATGAAGCAACCCCTCTAAATGGTCTAGTGTCAACCTGGCACCATACATAATTATTACAATTTTACTGACTATAATCCCTATGCTGTTCTTGACATTCCCGTGACTGTTTTGTAACTACTAATTGGTACTTCATCTCTTCACCTTTTTCACCCAGTCCCGCAATGCCCCTCCCATCTGGCAACTATCAATTTGTTCTCTGTATCTGTAAGTCTCTTTTGCTTTGTTTGTTGTTTTATTTTGTTCTTCAGATTTCACATGTAAGTGAAATCATATGGTATTTTTCTTTCTCTGCCTAACTTATTTTACTTGGCATAATACCCTCCAGGTCCATGGATGTTGTTGCAAACGATAAGGCTTCATTTTTCTTTATGGCTGAGTAATATTCCATTATATACATATCACCACTTCTTTATCTAATCATCTATTGATGGGCACTTAGGTTGCTTTCATATCTTAACTATTATAAGTAATGCTGCAATGAACATATCAGTGCATATATCTGATGATTAGTGACACTGAGCATCTTTTTATGTCTATTGACTCTCTGTATGTCCTCTTTGGAGAAATGTCAATTTAGGTCCTCTATTATTTAATTTGGATTGTTTGTGGCTTGTTTCATGTTAGGCTGTGTGAGTTCTTTATAAATTTTCTACATGAATCCCTTATTGGATGTATCATTGGCAAATATCCGAATTGGTAGATTGTGTTTTTGTTTTATTGGTGGATTCCTTTGATGTGCCAAAACTTTTTAGTTGGATATAGTTTCATTTTATTTTTTCTTTTGTTTCCCTTGCCCAAGGAAATATATCAGAAACAATATGAGTAGCAGCAATGTCAGAGACTTTACTGCCTTATCAGATATATGATTTGCAAATATTTTCTCCTATTTGGTAGATTGCTTTTCTATTTTGTTGATGGTTCCCTTTGCTGTGAAGAATCTTTTAGCTGGATATGGGCTCACTTGTTTATTTCATTATATATTTTTTTGCCTTTACTTGAATCAACCTTTTGTATAAGCTTTGGGAGAAGCTCCTCCATGGTTTCAATAGGTCTGTTTGAGGGAGAGGGTAAGTGAGATGCACTATGAGGAGGAGGATCAGTGGGAAGAACCATAGCTTCTCTTACTGTAGGTGAACTTAAAGCCACAGCAGATACTCAGTGTCTCCCTATCTCAGTGTCTCTGCTATCCATTCTCAGTTCCCCTCACCCTTGAATAATATCTCTGCTGCTCTGATGGCTTATCTGGGGGAGTGATCCTGACTCTCTCCCCGAGCGTTCAGAGGTCCAGGTGACTTGCCTAGGGTCCCGTACCCAGTAATATACAAAATGGGGATTCAATCCCTGCACTCTGGCTTGTGCCTCCTGTAAGTGAACATTCCATAGTTTAACAAGTATTAAACATTGTGCAATTTGACTGAAAATAATAGTGAATAGAAACAAAATCAAAACTCTCCTTTTCCTCTCTAAAAGTACAAGTATTTTAAAATATAACAATAATCAAATTTATCAAACTCATCTCTGGTGGGAGAACACTTATTAAACTAGTTACAGCCTGGAAGGTATAATCAGGAAATAAGGTTTTGTCTGTAAACATGTAGTGCCCATAGATAGATAAATGCATCCTTTGGGTTTCCTACCATATCTCTTATTGTTTGAATTTTCCAGGTTTTCTAATGTCATTATATATTACATTTTTTATTGTCAAGCACTTAAGTGTTATGAATTTTAAGTATTGAGAAAATTATTAAGAAAATAAATCTAATAAAAGGAGCTAATAATTATTAAAAATAAAAGTATAAATCAATTATTAAAATAAGAAATAATTCATATTAATTATTATATTATTGACTATATATAGTTACAATGCCAATATACTTATTATGGTAGTTATTATTATATTAAATGAGGTTAAACACACATGCCCACGTAAGACTTTCTACTCTTTTATCATTTCCACTTTTCTCACTCATATATTTCCATGTGATTCTTCTTCTGTCATTGAGCCATCTTTGGTCCCTAAAAATGTTTCATTGTGCCCACTGGCTTGCCCAATACTCAGAAACACCCTGCTTCATCTTCACAGAAAACTCCTCATTTACTAAAGCACTGAGAGAGAAGAGCTCAGGGACATGTTGGAGCCTTAGGCTGAAATCTGGTATGGATGGGAAGAGAGAGAGAGAAAGAGAGAGAAAGGGGGGAGAGAGAGAGAGAGAAGAGGACTGTTCAATAGCATGACTGCAGCTGACCTTAATCTAGATACAGCTAGATTCTGGACAGAAGAGAGATTCCTTCCCATAAGTCCCATTAGAGGCTATTTGACCCCCTCCCGTATGCCCGGGAGTGCCACTTCCTAGAACTGGCTGTTGCCTTCCTCAGGCAAGCAGTAAGGTTTTTCTTCCTTACCTGGGGTGGGTCATGCCCCAGTACTCCCATCCATCTTGCCCTGTCCTACATAACTCCTTACACCTGCCACATGGCATGGACAATACCCATGCCACCTTGCCGCCCAAGACAAGCCTCATATGTAAATTCCCTTAATAAACTCTTAATGTAATGATGGAGTTGCCAGCCTCTTTCTGTTTTTCTCAGCCCTGGGAAATTTTATGTATCAGATAGATAGGCAGGTAGGTAGATAGATAGATGGAAGATAGCTAGGGACAGATATATAATTATACTACATATACTGCACTAAGCCACATGACAAACTTTTTTAATATTAATTTTTCCCATGAACAGAGTAACCTGGTGATAACTGGACCTCTCTTTGCCACTGAACACATCACCATCACCGGTTGATATGTAAAGCCTTGAGGCTTCTGGTTATTTGACCGAAATATTAAAGTTGGACATGAGAGAGGGATTAACATGTTGAGATGCTGAGGACTCCAAGGAGTAGGTAGGAGTAGGTCTTAAAAAAAAACAAAAAACACAAAACCTAGCAAATTCTGGATAAAAGAAGCAGCAGCTGGCTGTGCTGGAAGTGCTCCTCTCATCCCATTGTGGTCACGATTATGATGTCATATTGGATACCTCATACCACACTGAAAGGAGACTGTGAATTTGTGGTGCTAACAGAATTTATGGGATTTTATATATTAAAAATAATTTATATATGAACTTCAGTAACTATCCAGGAAAGTCCTACATGCATTAGACTCTTTTGATCTTATGATGTCCTATTCCATAATAGTCATATCAAAGCCAGAGTGAATATAAAGGATAATTTACCAGCTCTTAAATAGACCAGCCTAAAAAGGGTTCCACCCATATTTTATTGGACAGATAAAAAGACAGTGTCACCTTTACCTTCCAGGAAAAAGGAAATGCGATTCTCCTGGGTGCACAATAGGAGAAGATAATCAGAAGGACTGTCACTCAGGTGTAAGATCTACCAGAGAGATGTACACATCAAAATCTGTTTGAAAACTGTGAAGACTTTTAGATCTACGACTGTGGCTCAGGGTTAGAGTTCAAGGTTTGAATCCTGCTTCTGCCACTTGGTCTCTTGTCCCTCTGAAACTCTGGGGAAGTTTGGTTTATTTCTAGCTTTCTCAGAGTCTCATTTTCATCACCTCTTAAATGGGGACACAACTGTTCCTGTTGGGAGGATTACACAAGATAATAGAGAACAATTAGCACAGGGTTACCATATAATAAACACTAAAACATCAAAAATATTTTCATATGTATTTTAATCATACTTTGTCCAGTAAAAAAAAAGAAAACACTTGCTGATACACCCACACACACAACACAAATTCACAAACACACAGAAATAAGTTAAGGTGAACAAACGGTAGTTTAAGCACTTGAGGCCAACATTTGAGATAAAGATACTGCATATGCTTCAAATCCAAGTTCAGAGCTCAGTAGTGTGATGGTAAGGAAGAAGATAAAGACATATCTTTTGGACAGCAGATAGGGTGAAATGTCATCAAATAAATTACCGGGAGATTAGTAGTTTAAATGTGTGTTAAAAACTAAGAGAGCAAAGTCAGAAATCCTTAAGGGCTGCATGAAAGAACAAGACGGTTTGAGAGATTCAAGGATAAAACAGAATACAAGTTTTTGTCAGTGATACTCATAAAGCTTCTCATTCCCAGAGCCAGTGAGTCTATCGCAGGTAAGAGGCTGCTCTGCTGACGTGCCTTCCCAGGGCCCCCTTCACATCCTTGTTCCTCAGGCTGTAGATGAAAGGATTCAGCATGGGGGTGACCACGGTATACATCACAGAAGCCACTGAAACTTTCTGGGAAGAGTGAGTCACTGTAGAAGTGAAGTAGACCCCAATGCCTGTCACATAAAATAAAGAAACGACTGAGAGATGAGACCCACAAGTGGAAAATGCTTTTTGCTTTCCCCCCGATGAGGACATCTTCCTTATTGATGAAGTAATTCTTGAGTACGAGAAAAGGATCCCCAAAAGGGGGAGTACACCGAGCACACAAGTCATAACATATACTAATATGGTATTCAGGGAGGTGTCAGAGCAGGCCAACTTGATGATCTGTGAAAGTTCACAGAAGAAATGTGGAATTTCAAGATCTCTACAGAAACTCAGATGCATCATCAGAGACATATGGAGGAGGGATGTCATGACACCAATGAGCCAAGTAATAAAAACTAGCAGGCCACAGAGATGAGGCTTCATGATGACTGTGTAGTGCAGGGGCTGACAGATGGCCACATACCGATCATAGGCCATTACAGTCAGGAGGATAGTGTCCAGGATAGGAAAGAGCATGGAAAAATACACCTGAGTGAGGCAGTTCACGTAGGAGATGGCTTTGCTCTGTGTCTGGATGTTCACCAGCATATTGGGGACTATGGTGGTACTGAAGCAGATGTCAATCAAGGACAGGTTGGACAGGAAGAAGTACATGGGCGTCTGGAGGTGGGAGTCAGAGCTGATGATTAGGACAATGAGCAGGTTCCCAAGCAGGGTGGCCAGGTACATAGACAGGAAGAGCCCAAATATAAGGGGCTGCAGTTTTGGGTCCTCTGAGAGCCCAAGGAGGATGAACTCTAAAATTCCTGTTTTGTTTCCTGCTTTCATGTGGTTGACATGTCTATGAAGGAAGAGAGAAGAACAGCATGAACTAGCACAAACCGGCACCCTCCACGTGATAGAAATTTTGACTATGCCTTTCACTCAAGTTATTTATGAAGTCTGTCAGTTTGTCTGAGAGTTGGATCTCTATTCACTTATAAATGGAATCCTAGAAAATGGAGTCCCTTGTCCCACCCACCCATCTTAACTACCCATTTTACAGCAGTGAAACCAAAATGGAATCCTACAAAAGAGGACCTCCTATCTTAAAAATCCATTTTATAACAACCTTGTCAGATGGTCATGAAGCTTCAAAATAGACAAATCAACATCATGTCCTTCCTGGTAGGAGGCACTGGAAAGGACACAATGTCACTACTGTGGAATTTTTGCCAAAGATTCAGGACTTCAATCTAAAGACTAAGGTGCATCAGGCAAACCTAAATTGAGGGACATTCAAAAATGCCAGTTTCATCAAATTCAAAGGAAGTCTAAGAACTGTTCTAGATTAAAGATGGCTAATGAGATGTCAACTAAATGTAAGGCATGATCTTGGATTTTCTTTGCTCTTAAATGAAATTATTAGGATAATTGTCAAAATAGAAATGACATCTGTAAACTTGATAATATATTCTATCAATGTTAATTTCCTGATTTTGATTATTGTTTTGTGGTTACATATGGAAAATGTCCTTGTTTTTAGGGAACACTCAAAATTCAGAGGTACAACTTACTCTCCAGTGGTTCTGATAACACAACCATATACATATGCACATACATGCACACGGAAGAGAGAGAAAACTGGATAAAGAAAAAAGTAAAGTGGCAAAAATGTTAATATTTAGGGGAGCCAATAAAGGATATACATAGGAACGATTCTTTCTACTTTTCTTTAAACCTGAAATGATGTCAAAATTAAAAGTTAAAAATACTTTCACACAATGTTCAATAGTACAGGGTAAAAAAATAAAAAAGAAAATCCATCCATCAAATGTCAGAAAGAGTCAGACTTCAAAAATCACTGTAGTGGAGACAACCACTCACAGGTTTAGGGCCCACATTCACACTCACCTAGAAACCTCAGTCAGAGGACTTTAGTCTAAAGTGGTCCTGGGTGTAATGCACCCTAAGCCCCAGGCAGAAGCAAGCACAACTATGCTCTGGAAGGTGCTTTCATCTGGGGATTTTGGCCTCAGTGTCCATAAGGGAGACAGGTCTATGATTTTTCTTTCTTTATGCATTTTCCAGCTTTGCCAGCTCATGCTAGTTCCTTCCAACCTCCCAAGCTTATTAAGCACAACACCAGCCTTTCACTCTCCAAGTTCTAACACGCTGGCCTTCTCAGGAATCCTAAAGCGCTGAGTTTCCCCAGCCATGCCTGTGTAAGCACAGCCCACCGGGCGGGGGTGCTCCTCCAAGCCTTTGTCTTCCTGTGATATTCCTGTCCTTACCTCATACAGAACATCACTTCCTCAAACAAGCCTCCCTGAACCCTCCCTGCCCACAAAGGACAGTCCCCCTCATCTGATCTTGTTTAGCCCTGTGTTCTTCTTCATTGCCTAAGTCATACTGATGTTTTTGTGTTTACTAATGAAATTATTTGATTAATATCTGCTGCTCTCCTGACTGAATCATGAACCACACAAGTTCAGATCACATATTACAAAATTTACTTACCCTGGCATTCCCAGTGGTTTGTTCTCAAAGAGTACGAAAAGTTGAATGGAGGTTGGAACAAAAATTATATATATAACACAAACAAGAAATCTACAAGCTAATCGCACATTGACTATCGATGCAGCAACCTGCAAAAGGAGTAAGATGATGTTATCTGCTTGATAAAAATAACAAACTCCCCTATGAATTAATGTTCATCTGAAAAGTACAAAAATATTTAACATTAGAAAGTCAGATAGCAAATTTCCATGACTAGATCAATGCAGAAATGATGATAGTTTCAATATAAATGCAACATAACAGCCATTGATGGGAACACTAAAATTTCAGTCATGTGGAACACTGGATACTGCCTCTAGGTGATAAAGAATCACTGTGTTAAACCAAGTGTTAATCCAAGATCCATCATTAAACCCTAAAAAAACAAAACAAACTTATAAAAGGCAAGGAGAAATCATGCCTGCTGTTAAAATTATTTAACATTGTTTATTTTTTAAATTTTAATAATTTGTATTTATTCTAATTATCTGTATTTACATGCATTTACATGTTATTTGCCAATTATGATAGCACTTGTCTTTTTCCAGTCTATATGAATTTTTGTTCTTCATTAATTGCATTGGCCCAGTCTTCCAGCTCAATGTTAGGTAGAAGTAGTGATGGCAGGATATCTGTGTCTCATTTTTTTATTTCCAGGGGAAAAGATTTCAATAAATAATCATTAGATATGATGTCTATTATGAGCTTTTGAAGATAAGCATCAGAATAAGATTTTGTTTTTGTTTTCCAGTAAGTATATTAAATCTTATGAAATGCTTTTTCTGTATTTATTGAAATGGCCATATAATTTCTGAATATCTTTTATATGTAAAATGATCTTTCTAGCATCATGCTGCTATAAAAATGAAGCATCTAACACTATGTAGTAATATAAGAAAATTAGGAGTATGTCAGTTTTATTGCCATTTTTAAAATATATCTAAAACCAATGTCACCCCAATAAATTTTAAAAAGAAATACTTGTTGAAATAAATGACATCTCTGCCTTAAAAACAAAGAAAAAAACTCAAATCATACCTGAAACCTCAGCTCAAATGTGGTTCTTTCATTGAGGTTGTCTGATCACCCAAGCCGGACCTGATCTCCCCAAGCTCCGAACAGCTCGGTCCCTTATTCATTCCTCTTTTACAGCTCTTAGCAGAGGCAAATGCCATACAGTGAATTTGGGGGTGTGCATGTGGCTTTGCCATTTATTACTGCATTTTAGAAAAACTACTTCCTTACTGAACCTCAGTGTTTCTCATCTACAAAATGGGGTCAGTCATGTGGTCAAAAACAGATATTTTAAGCTGCCATTTTAACACTGTTTCTACGTTTCTGTGTCTCCGTTTCCTGAAATATAAATTGTAGTGACCCCAGACTTCCTAATACTTCAAAAGAAATGCCATGTGACAAGAAAAGTAAACCAGATATAGAAATGTAAACCAAGCACAGAATTGGTCACTGTCAGCTGCTGATATGATTACCTACCTGGGAACACTAAAGAAAGTCAACAAACAGTGTCCTCGGCTTTCTTATGTGTCTGCACAGAATCATTAGGAAACATACGAGAGCAAATGGGTCCATTCACAGTTGCAATGACAACACAGGTAACACCTGGCACATAGTGGGCGTTCCATGAATATTTGTTGAACCAATCAGTGTGTGTAACCTTTTAGAAACCAAACAACGAAGGGGCTGGAGCCGAGGGTCCCCAGTGACAGCCAGCGTCAGAGTCACCCCGAGGACTCGTTAAAACAGGCTATCGGGTCTCATCCCTGGAGTTTGTCAGCAGGCTGTGGGCGGGGCCTGGGAATCTGCATTTCCAGCAAGCTCCCCGGGGTTGGGGGACTGATGTCGCTGCTTCAGGAACCGCACTGAGAACTGCTGTCCTAGAAAAGGACAAGGCAGCTCTTAGCAGGTGGGTTGGAAACTCTTTACACTTGAGGAAATGCCAATTCCTACTGACACTGAGCAAGTCGCTGGTTCCAGAACAAGTTTCCATCAGAACTGGAGGTGACAGAAAACAGCTGCAATGGAATCTAAAAAGACATAAATAGCCAGGAAAATAAATTCCAGAGATTCAAACAAACTTGTCATGGGGCATTATCAACCACCTTACCTCCTTTCCTCACTACTTTTTTAATACTTCTCATACACAGTACTCACAAGGCCAGGTGACTCACTCCACTACCATTGCTTAAAGAAGTTTTTGTACAAGTTCTTTTTGCTCTGACTGTTGGATGCTGAAGACAGACTCACCCCGGGAAAGGTAAGAAGGCGGAACTTGTCACAAAGTCATGTCTGTGAGAGGTGCAAGTGTGGCCCAAACTGCAGTGAGGGTGCCAGGGAAGTATTTATGGTTTCTCAAGCCCCAGGGGAATGATTTCTCATTGTTCCTCATTAAATAAATTGTTCCTTTGATCTTCTCCTCTTGACATCACTAAGCTCCTTTGGGGTAGAGAGCAAAGGGAAGAACTGAATGTGTGTGCTAATGCTGTTTCCAGGAAGGCAGCTTTGGAGCCAGATAGCGACCTCCAGCCGCTGAGCCCCAGTTCTCACCCCATAGGATTCTTCCTTCATTTTCATCAATGCCTTAGGATCAGTGTCTGTGCCACAAAGACTCATTTCCCTGTGGCCACAGTACTTAGGGGCGCAAAGTAACACAGAAGAAAATGGAGATGTACCTGTCCTTTGACTGGATAGGCTGTGTGGTGTTGAACACACTGTGGAGATAAAGTGGTGTTTCAAGAGAGGAAGAGTCACCCCTATAAAGTGATGGTCTGAGGTCAGGTAAAGTGCAGGCTAAACAATAAGCCTTGGGTTTAGTGATATGCGATAGAAGAATTTTGGTAATGTGGTGGGGAAGAGTCTATTTACGGTGGGCTTGGGAGTGACTTAGCAGTGAGAAATTGACCTTGTGAGTGTAGAACACTATCAAGAACTTTGGTTGTGAAGAGGAAAAGACAGAGCATAGTACTATAAAATGTTTTCTTTTTTTCATTTTGGACATGAGAAAATATTTAAATGACAAAGGAAATGCTCCAGTTGATTTTAGGAAATTAAATTGACCCTCTATGATTTACCATACAAATCAGAGCTCTGTAATCCATTTTTAAATTATTTATTCTCAATTCTACATGAAATGGACCATCCTTTAATTAGTTGAGTCAACTAGAAATAGAAGAGTAAAATCAAAGTCAGATGTGTTAATACAAGGTTAATAAGTAAAAGGAATGTTCTTTCACCAAGTATATCATTAAATGAATAGCTTTCTACCACATATATAACATTGGAGAAACACC